AGGCATGCAAACTGGCTGAAGGAAAATCATTTACCATTTATACAGATTCTAGATCTACCAACAGGTGAGAGCAGCTCTGCTGGCTCCAGCCTCTGAACCCTTGCACAACATGCAGCCAAGGGACTGGGTCGTGATAAAGGAGCTCCGGAGGAAACACTGGAAGTCCAAACGCTGGCAGGGACCATTCCAGGTCCTGCTGACAATGCACACAGCAGTTAAGATAGCAGAAAAAGCAACCTGGATTCATGCCAGCCACTGTAGGAAGGTGCCAGAGCCCCCTGAGATGACAACTAACCATTCCAGCCCAGCGCATTCACTCACACACACACCCCCTGACTAAGTGAGGCTGTGTTGAAACAACACAGCAGCAAAGTGTGAGCCAAGCGCCGCTTCCTATTGCTCCAGTGAGATACAGGGAACATACACCATACATGCAACCGAGAGTACACACACGAGTTAACTAGCTTAGCTGACGTTGGACCAGCAATGGAACCCAGCTCATCCTCTGCAAATATAAACTGTGCCACACTATAAACAGAAGCCAGATAGATACTTTTAATGTTCCGTTCTTGGTGGTCAGGTATTATATTGAGTGATTAATGATACTAAGTGATTAATGAATAATCAAGAGAAGGGAAGTGTGATGGAAACTCACCGAATCCTGATGTGGTGGCTGATGACTGATGTGAGCTAAATTAACTCAGAATCAGAATCAGCTTTATTGGCCAGGTGTGTTGGACACACAGGAATTTGACTTTAGTACATCGGCTCTCAATGTGCATGTACATATCCCTATGCAAGGGGCAAGTAAACAGTAAACCAGCATAAGACTGTGTAAGATAACAAAATAAGCAATATTAACAAGCAACAAACTAAGCAGTATAAACAGGCAGTAAACGTTGCAGACGGACAAAAGAATGCTCATTGTGAAATGAGATAAATAGAAATAAATATATAGTACTTAAAAATAAAGACCTGTATGAATCTGTATAATCGGTTCAAGGTACTGTTCAAGGTACTATATATTTACAGGCGAATCACTAAAATGCCAATGATCAATTATTATTACCATAATTCTGAACAGTTCAATGAGTTGAAGGGCTACAATATGTGCTATAATAATAAAAATAAGCAGCTGTGATTGTGTCCATAAAACAGCTGGAACAGAAAAGATGGTAAATGGTCTGCATCCCAGAGATGTGAGTGTGGCCAGCGTCCAGTCTCTTTGGCTGCATCAAGAGATCACCCAGAGAAAAGAGTCAATGAGTGAGAAATAAAAGGAGTTAGTCAGGTTCTGTATAGATGGCACTGGTCAGCTATCACATCACTAGTTGGAACCAATCAGAAATGTGTATTAGGTATGTGTGCCTCAGTATGTTTCTTTTTGAGATTAGGTACTAGCTGGGGAACGAGTGAGCTGAAAGTTGTGGAGAGGGGTCAGGGCAGCACACAGAGAGTGCAGAAGAGGGGGGCTTGCAGCAGGGATGTCTGTGGGCGGGAGGGGCAGGAAGATGATCAAATCTATTGAAAAATAGACTGAGATTGTTCACCATCTTCTGTTGCCCTCCAGCAAGGGAGTCAGAGTTCTTGTGGCTGGAGACGGTTGTAAGGCCTTTCCAGACTCTGCTGATGATCTGTTGCAGCTGTTTCTCCATCTTCCTCCTGTAGCTGGTTTTCCCCTCCTGGACCTTCCTTCTCAGCTCCCGCTGCACAGCTTTCAGCTTCTCCTTGCCTCCTAATCTAAACACCCTCCTTTCTCACGTACGAGAGCCTTTACTTCAGGGTTGATCTAGGCTTTGTTGTTAGAGAAACACCAGACAGTCTTGGCGGGTACAGTGTTTTCCACAGAGAAGTTTGATATAGTGTGTTATTCAGTGTGTGAGACTGTCAGTGTCCTGCCCATAAGGATCACACAGGTCTTCCTACACAGTTGTGTCAAAACAGTCCTTCAGAGCCACTTCACTCTTTGTATTCCTTTTCTTTACTGTGCGGGTTAGGGTTCCCTGTGTAAAAGGGGTTTGTACACAGGTAAAAGATGGTCTGAGTGCAGAACGTCACAGGCAGCAGCAGTGTTAGCAGAGGGGGGGAACATACACTTCACAATAACGTGCAAGAATTCCCTCGGTAGATAGCAGGCCCTGCATGATATGAGGAAAATATGCAGTTTGCGATAACACTGTTCAATATTGTGATGACAATATGATTTGGGATAAACAAATATTTGTATTTTAGCTATACAGTCCCTATGTCTTTCTTCTTTAATACGTACGCTGCTAACATTGAAACCAAACATTAAATAAGCAATGCCCAATGAGTAAGGAAATGAAATAAATTATTTCAAACCTGTTTTTATTGAATAAAACATATACAAATACCCAACCAATTAACTGAATATTAATATTATAAAATAAGACATTATATATGTATGTATAAGAAATTGAAGGTTTTTTTTAACCTGCTGCTTTTAAAATACTTTCTTATAAACTCAACTTAAACATCTCTTGAAATAAAAATATCCAGGGTATAACAGCTTAAATAATTAATTATAAATTAAACATCAATTTAAAAGTAAAGCTTTAAGAATTTTTTTTAAATTAAACATAATAATACTATAAATTATCTCTGTGCTGTTGTGCTGTTCATCTGTTGAAACCTGAAAAAGTATGTGAACCTTTTGGAATTTCATGGTTTTCTGTTTAAAATTGTCATAAAATGAGATATAATGTTCATCTAAGTCAACAATACAGACAAATATAATACACCTAAAATAATACCAAAAAGTTTTTTTTTTGATCTTTCATGTCTTTATTGAAGACACTCATTCATCATTCAAAATGGTAGTAGAAAAAGTAAGTGAACTCCTGAAATTAATAACTGGTTGACTTGGCCACTCCAAAAGGCGGATTTTGTTTTTCTGAAGCCATTCTGTTGTGGACTTGCTCCGGTGTTTTGGGTCATTGTCCTGTTGCACTTCTGTGTAGACATAATGTCTGTACCTTCAGGTAACCAGATGGCCTATTTTACATTTTAACACAGACCTGTTGGCCTGTTTTGCATCCTCACATAGGCCCTTTGTGTGTGTGTGTGTGTGTGTGTGTGTTAGTGTGTGCGCACACGCGTGCACATCATCCTTTTGTACACTGCAGTAGTGTCTATCAACATAAGGCCCAGGCTTCTGAAATGTGTTTTGCTTTGTATTTGCTGTCATGTTTATTGTTTACTTTAAATGCACAGAAAAAATCACCACCCTCTATAAAATTTGAGTTTTTGTTTCCTAGCTAGCTGCTGGATAATTTCATATTCATTGGTTCCAGCATGTACTCCAGTTTTTAAATCACTGTTCTGGATTGGATCCCAGTAATGACTCCAGTTTCCTTCTTCATCCGCTCCATAACCAAACACATGGACCTAGGAAAACAAAAATAAATGTATAATAAAGCCATCAAACTGCACAACCAGCAATGACAGTTGGACTACAGAAGCATTCAGATTAAATTTATCAAGATAGTGGGTTCAGCCAGTGTAGCCTAGACTAAGCAGATATGCAATGTGGGTATAAGGTCCTGTTGCCAGCTGGGGTGTAAAAATATATAGGGGAGCAATATATCATGGTAAAAATGTGACTTTGCACTGTGACACAGAAAACTGTATTGCAATATCAAGTCAAAACTCTCATGTATGCATTTATGTTAACAGGAGGGGGCATTCTTGACCAGCCTGTTGTTGACACTGATGTTCAATAGAGTTGCCATTAGCCCCATATTACATTAGTCACACTCTAATCCAATTACACTCTAGTCTACAGAAGAAGGGAGATGCTTGAATAAGAAACAAAATGCAGTTTTCAAACAATTTTTGTCAGATTACATACCTAAACTAAATTACTGAGACACTACTGTAGTTTTCATTCTTGCTGTGTTATAATGAGCATATCAAGCCGTGAGCCTATAGTGTATCAAACTGAGTTGTGCTATGGGGGGTTGTTTTGTTTCTTTAATCTGCAATCAAAGAAAAGCTCAGTTCAAAATTTTGGTTGTGGTTCTGATTTCAACACAGAGGGAGAGGCGAGGCGTAATACTGTATCTTTATTGGCCAGCGAAACTCTAGTGTCACTGGCCAAACTGACAAACTGATAATAGACATTTTCTTAAAATGTTGTAAAATAGTGATTACGGTACTTGCTTTTTCACAGTTTGCCACAACACAACATTCACAAGAAAACTCTAGTTTAAACATGAACTTACCTCATCACACGTGTGCAGAGCGAGAATCACAGCCATAAAGCCAGTGGATGGATACTTGCCCTCATTTTCCAGCCATGCATCATGGACATACCTCATGAAAGCTGGATTCATCACCATCACCTGTTAAAAAGAAAAGAATCTGAGTTGCCCCTTAAACTTATTTTTATGAAACATTAGCAATAGTTTTATTGTTGAAAGCCTTCCAAACAATACTCACCAAATCCTTATTTACTGTGATATTTGATTTCACTGGCTTATATGACCTGTAAGAAACAACATTGTACAAGTGGTCAGTTGTCACAGAAGAGGGTGTTCTTGTTTGTTTATGTATCATAAGCCTACATAGACATTCACAAGTGCTCTATGGGTGTAGGCAGAGCCCTTTAACCTAGGGTCTGTTCTACCTTAAAAGACAATCTTGGCTAGTGTGGATGTAGGTTCAAATGTGAAGGAATCTATTAATTATCAGTAAGGTCCAATATATGTTAACAACCAATTATAGCCGTGGGCCAGCAGTCACCCAGGCAGAGCCAGGGAAAAACTGTTATTGTTGTGGGCACTGAGGAAAAAAGATGGCAGTGCTCAGTAATGCATGGTGGGGCTGCCATATTTGAAGATGTTCCAAATCCTGTCAGGCCTTCTGCCAAACTAGCTAGTTCTCATTAACAGGGCGTTAAATAGTGATGCTTTGCCAAGTACCTTTTGTGTCAGACTAACATCAAACTTTCCCACAGGAGAGAGGTGTTTGAGTCCAGTGTGTGATGTTGTGCTTTTTAATTGATGGATGTTTTCACTCAATCCACAAACCTTTTCTAAACCTAAACACAGTTTTTGTGCCTAAACCTAACCAAGCTGTTTGAAGCCCTTTTCAAACATGAGATACTGTATGTAACGTCACTGGCTCCATCAATTTGTTAAAGTGATGGCTTTCTGTTAGTCAGACACAGGTCACTTCTATAATAATGTCCCTCATAGCTTCATTCAGATATACCCACTACTGTGACAAAGAGAACCATGGTGCACATGCAATATTTGCCATATGCACAAGATCGTAGAATCTTGTGCAAGCCCATCCATTAATACAGCTGCATGCAGTTCAGACTTTTGTTGTGTTGAAAGTGATACATAAATTTTACTAGGTCTGACCTAGTAAGATTGCTAAAACAATGTTTATGGAAAACTAACAAAGGTGATTCAAGATTTTTATTTGCCATTTATGCATAAACAGACAGTCTAGGCATATAGGAATTCTTGTACAGCTCTCCTTTGGAGTCAAGTAAGGAGTCAAAAGCCAGTTTTATGAGTCAAGAGCCAAAAAGAACACTTAAAATAAAAAAGTTGCATAAGGGCAACAAAGTATTAAAACACAATGCACAAAAATAGGGTAATAATATTTCCCATAGTGATGTCAAACGTCGCACTTAGTAGTTCACATGGTGGAGCTGCATATGGCATTACGCTTGGTGAGGCAGTGAGGGGTTATTGCACATGTCTAGGAAGGGGTTACTACACATATATTCTCACATTTCTCACATTTTCATACTTACCATCAGTTTTACTGTAGCAGGTAAAAAGCTGTTGTAAAGTCTTGTTCTGTGTGTGATGATACTGTCCGCCCTGCTGTGCCTGTGTAGGCTGTAGGTGCAGTTTGAGTGTCTGAGCAGAGTGTGAGCTGGGTGGAGTGGGTCTCTCTGATTATGTTCTCTGCCCTTTAACGACAATGCTGTGTGTACAATGTGTCCATAGCAGGATGTTCAGTCCCAGTGATCCTCTCTGCAGTCTTTATGACCCTTTGAAGAGCCTTCCTCTCTGCCTGTGTAGTGTTACCATACCAGACTGTGATGCCAGTAGTGAGGATGCTCTCTACCAGTCCTCTATAAGCCTGGGTGAGAGGGTGACAGTTCAACCCAGCTTTTCTGAGCCGCCTGATTAAGTATAGTATGCTGGGCTTTCTTCACTGTGGCAACTGTGTTCCGTGTCCAGCTCAGGTCAGATGTCACCTGCAGGCCCAGGAACTTGGGGCTGTCAGCCCTCTCCACCTCCACCTCCCTTTGATGGTCAGAGGCAGCAGAGGGGAGGGGTTCTTCCTGAAGTCTATTATTATTTTGTCTTGTTTATGTTTAGGGTGAGGTCATTCTTCTCTCCATAATCAAGAATGTTGTTCACCAAGCTTCTGTAACCCGACTCGTTTCCCCCCTTGATGAGGCCCAGAATGGTGGTGTCGTCAGCATATTTAATGATGATGGTGTTGTCATGGTTGGAGACACAGTCGTGGGTGTACAGGGTGAAGAATTTGGGGCTGAAGCAGCAGCCCTGCGGTGAGCCTGTGCTGACTGTGAGCTCAGCAGACACTCGCCCTAACTACCTGTGGTCTTTCAGTCAGGAAGTCCAAGATCCAGTTACAGGTGGGAGTTGGTACACCGAGGTCTGTCATCTTTCCAATCAGCCTGCCCGGGTGAATGGTGTTGAATGCAGAACTGTAATCTGGGAAGAGCATCCTAGCATATGTACTGCTGTTGTCCAGGTGTTTCAGGATATGGAATAAAGCCAGAACTGTCGCATCATCCACTGATCTGTTGGGGCAGTAGGCAAACTGGAGAGGGTCTACAGTGTCCGAGACCGTGTGGTTAACGTGTGTGAGGGCCAGTTTCTCTAAGCACTTCATGGTAACTGATGTGAGTGCCACTGGCCTGAAGTCATTCAGAGTAGATGCGTCTGATGCCTTAGGGACCGGTAAGGTAATAGATTTTTTTGAAAAAGCAAGGAACTACTGCTTGGGTTAAAGACAGGTTGAAGAAGTCAGTATACACAATAGTTAGTTGATCCCCACAGGCTCTCAACACTCTAGGGGGGATACCGTCTGGTCCTGCCGCCTTATGGGGGTTTACCTGTTTTAGGGCCTTCAGGACCTGTGTGTGCGTTACCTGAAAAGCAGTGTCCCCGGGGTCGTAGGGGGATTTTGAGGGGGTGTCTGTGTTCATCCTGTCAAACCTTGCATAGATGTTCTTGAGGCTGTCCAGGAAGGTGGCGTCCTGGGCGGCTGTGTTTGTTGATTTGTTCCTGTAGTTTTGTGACTGCCTGGATTCCCTGCTACATACTGTGCATGTTGTTATTCATATAGTAGCTCTCCAGCTTTTGGAAGTACAGTGGAACCTTGGATTGCGAGTATAACTCGTTCCGGCAACGTGCTCGTAATCCAAAGTACTCATATATCAAAGCAAATTTCCCCATAAGAAATAATGGAAACACAAATGACTCGTTCCACAACTATATATTCATATAAAAATGATTACAGTAATACAAAATACAATATAAATTAACATGTGCTTTACCTTTGAAAAGAATCACTTATTTATATAAAAATGATAGCAGTTTTGCTGGGTGTAATTTCCAAAAAAAAATACTAATATGAATTAACCAAAGAATCCTCTTAATCACTCAAGAGTAGGCTAAACTGTACTCACTTGCCATAAAATCCTGTAGTGGAGGCTTGAATGAGCCACTCAAGGTCTAGTATCTTGAATGGAATCAGCACCAAATGAGTGGAGTTGTCCAAGTCCTTGGCACTCTCAGGATACATAATATGATGAGTTGTTCTCTTCCCAACATCTGCTTCATAACCTTTAGTGTGGCCACTGTTCATTCTAAATAACACAGAGGGATACATTTGATTCTTTACTGTCCTTGGCAGAAATACATTCCAGCTCCAGTGTTTTTAATAATTATTTAAAATGGAGCAAAGATTAAAACAGTTTTCCTTGGATAATAATTTACCTTATGACGACATCATGGGCATCTATGAGAGGGCCATAATGTGATCTCCTCAAATTTCCCGAATTGCCCACCACAGCACAACTCCTGCAACCGTCCGTGCAGCGTTCTGTGAGAACTGGATTTGGTGGGAAGATCTGAAACAGCATTTTCACTGTTTTTCTGTAAGTAGTGAAGTTGTGCTGTTCATCCTGTAAGAGCTGACACACCAAACATACAGTAACAAACTGTAGTTAGACCAGGTACAGTATAGGTTGTATTAGACATTCAAACTGGCACACAACAAACTTGTAACCACAGTGATGTTGACAGAGTAATGCATTTACATTTCACTTCCTGATTTAATGACTGCAGGTTGAGAGATAAAGTTGAAGTCAGAAGTTTACATATACTTAGCCTTAAGTGAACAAAACTGTTTTTTTTTAACCACTCCACAGATGTCATGTTAACAAACTCTTGTTTTGGAAAGTCTGTTAGGACATGTACTTTATGCATGACACAAGCATTTTTTTCCAAACATTGTGTACAGATAGATTACTTCACTTATAATTCACTATATTACATTTCCACTGAGTCAGAAGTTTACATACACTCAGGTGACTGGGCCTTTAAACAGCCTGGAAAATTCCAGAAGATGATGTCATGGCTTTAGAAGCTTCTGATAGGCCAATACACATCATTTAGGCCAATACACATCATTTAAGTCAATAGGAGGTGCACCTGTGAATGCATTTTAATGCATACCTTCAAACTCAATACCTCTTTGTTTGACATCATGGGAAAATCAAAATAAATCAGCCTCAGAAAAAAAAGGTGTATCTCCACAAATCTGGTTCACCTTTGGGAGTAATTTCTGTCACACAACACTCCTGACACCTTTCTCCACCCACTCCAACCTGCCTGCACTCACCTCTTCACCTCTTTCCTACACTCCCCATCACACTGGACTGTTGACCCCAAATACTTAAAACTCCTGCACCTTCTTGACCTCAGCCCCCTGTAACCTCACTGTTCCACTTCCCTCCCTCTCGTTCATACACATGTATTCTGTTTTACCACGAGTGACTTTCATTCCTCTTCTTTCCAGAGCAGACCTCTACCTTTCCAGGTGTTCCTCCACCTGCTCTCTGCTCTCACTACAAATCACAATGTCATCTGCAAACATCATTGTTCAGGGAGATTCCTGTCTGACCTCATCCATCACCATAGCAAACAAGAAGGGACTCAAAGCCGATCCTTGATGTAGCCCCACCTCCACCTTGAACTCCTCTGTCTGACCTACAGCACATCTCACTACTGTCGTACTCCTCTCATACATATCCTGAACTACTCTGACGTACTTCTCTGCCACTCCTGACATCCTCATACAGTACCATAGCTCCTCTCTCGGCACTCTGTCGTACGCTTTCTCTAAATCCACAAAGACGCAATGCAGCTCCTTATGACCTCCCCGTTTCCGCATGGAAAAACCCAAATAACAGAATAGGAAAGATGCTCCTCCATTCCTCAGGCATCTTCTCACTCTCTAAAATCCTGTTGAACAAACTAGATAGAAACTCCACTGCTGTCTCTCCTAGACACTTCCACACCTCTACAGGTATGTCATCTGGACCAACAGCCTTTCCACTCTTCATCCTCCTCAGAACCTTCCTTACCTCATCCTTTCTAATGTTTGCTACTTCCTGCTCTACAATATTCACCTGTTCCCCTTTCTTTCCCTCTCGTTTTCCTCATTCATCAGTTCCTCAATATACTCCTTCCATCTTCTCTGCACACTCTCCTCACTTGTTAGCACCTTTCCATCTCTGTCTTTAATACCCCTTATCTGTTGCACATTCTTCCCATCTCTATCTCTGTCTCTTTAATCTGTACAAGTCCTTCTCACCTTCCCTCGTTTCTAACCTGGCATACAACTCATCATTCCTTATCTTCTTTCCTTCTTCCAGATGACACACCTAGCACCTTCCTACCTGTCTCCCTGATCACTTCTGCTGTAGTTTCCCAGTCATCTGGAAGTTCTTCCTGACCACCCAAAGCCTGTGTCAACTTCTGTCTGAATTCCTCACGACATTCTTTTTTTTTTGTAACTTCCACCACTTGGTCTTCTTTTCTGTCTTTCCTCTCCTCTTCTTCCTGACCACCAGAGTCATCCTACACACCACCATCCGATGCTGTCTGGCTACACATTCTCCTACCACCACTTTGCAGTCACTAATCTCTCTCAGATTGCCTCGTCTACATAGAATGTAAATACATCTTTTTCTCTACTATTTTTCTGACATTTCACATTCTTAAAATAAAGCAGTTATCCTAACTGACCTAAGATGTGGAATGTTTACAGGGTCAAGTGTCAGGAGTTGTAAAAACTGAGTTTAAATGTATTTGGCTAAGGTGTGTGGAAGCTTCTGACTTCAACTGTAGGTTTCTTACAGGCTGACAACTTACTTTCCACCACTCAAAAACATCCTCTGAAAAATTGTATTTTGCTGACAAAAATGGCTCAACAGATGTGTTGTTAGCAAGCCACAGGTCATCTTCTGATAAACATGTCTCACAAGTACAAAGGCTTCTGTCCTGACCCCGGAAGATTTCTGGAAATGTGCTTGAATTGTGTCCACTCAAAAGCACACTGACGACAGTGAGACATATCAGGAAAATGAACACCCTCAATTTTGACATCATCTGGGCTGTGAGAAGGATATCACTAAGATTCCATTTAAATCTGTAGACAAAGATGTGTGATGAAATGAGTGAGTTTACATTCATGAATCGTAAAATAAATACATAAAAAGCAGTCATGTGTTTTTTATATGCAGATATAATCAACAAGTGAAGTAGTAGAGAATTCTCAACATAAACTCCATTTACACAAAACCCACTACATAAACTGATCTTTACATTAGAAGAGGACAGCTGCCAGTCTTCATGAAATTAAGTCATAGTAGGCCTAAATGTGTTTCATAAGGACTAACTGAGGATTGATGATTATTTTGTGGGTGGCTGTGGCTCACAAGGTAGGGCAGTCGTTTCCTAACCAGCAAGTTGGTGGTTCGACTCCCAGTCTCCCTGCATGCCTAAGTGTCCCTGAGCAAGACACTGAACCCCGAATTGCACTCGGTGGCTTGACTAGCACTGGTGCATGCCAGCCTGTTGTCATCGGTGTGTGAATGGTGTATGATCTTCTGTAAAGCTTTGGCCAGTGCAACACACTGTGAGAAAGTGCTATATAAAATACAGTCCATTTACTGTTTATAGTAATGATAATAACTAGATTGATATGTATTTCCTGAAGAAAATGTCTGAGTGCTGGGGGATGCTGTCATTGCTGGTTCAAGAATGTTTTATCTGTGCTTCATGGTTCACAAGTTATTAAATAAAAACCCTGAAGGTTAGGGTTACTGGGTGCTAACTGACCACACACATCAGGCACATGGTCACAGGAAACCTTTGTGCTAATAATCTTTTAAGTGTCCTCTTTTCTACACCTTCCCATCTCATCCATTGTCCCTGCTGAGCCTGGGAGACTGCTTTCGCACATCTACCTGCCTCTTCTTGCCTCCTAATCTCATCAATTGATTTGATTTGATTTTGATTTGATTTATTCTTTCAAACATGCAGAACAATGACATCAACACACACATAATTATAATTACACACACATAATTACACAAATCCAACCAATGCTAATCCAGAATCAGTTTGCTTATACCTAGTACATGTTTGAATGGAGTAGGAAGAAGTCAGACTTATCCAGTCCTACCCCATAACATCATCTTATACAAAAAATTTCATGCATCATTGGCTGCAAGCAATATTTCTACATAGTTGATTCTCTTCTTCACCAACAAGTAATACACAAAAAACTTAAAACAGAGTGATTCCTTCATGATTTTTGATTAAATCTGTTACTCTTGCATATATCGTGAATGACACATTCATTTATATTTATATTTAAACTCCTCAGTTCTAGTACTGTTTTTCATGTCCACACTTAAATCATTCCATAATTTGACCCCACTTATAGAAATACAAAATCTTTTTTTGGTTGTACGTATAGCATGAACTTTTAGATTTAACTGACCCCTTAAATTATAACCCCCATCCGTTTCCTTAAATAACTTTTGTATTCCACCAGGTAATAAGTCGTTCCTGGCTTTATACATAAACACAGCGGTCTTATATTCCACTAAATCAAAGAATTTTAACAATTTAGATTGTATGAAAGCTACATTGGTGTGATCCCTATACCCCATCTTGTGCACAATTCTTATCGTTCTTTTTTGTAATAACCCTTGCCATTATCGATATGTTTTTAGCTATTTTATGCTGAACATATCTGATATGAGATTTCCAGGAGAATCTGTCGTCAACCATGACACCCAGAAATTTGATTTCATATACTCGTTCGATGTTAGCACCCCCAATTTTTAATTGAAGTTCATTATGTGGTCTACAATTCCCGAATACCATGCATTTAGTACAATAAATACTAGATGTTTATTTAGTCAATAAACATGTTAGAAAGATGCTGCTACTTTGCTTCAAAAAGGTTGTCATGTCCTTAAACCAAAACCACCACATCCATGCTGTATCCTTATATTTAAGAACTGCCTGAGCCTGCAACATTGCCTCCTTCAGGTTCCACTTCCTCCCTGCTAAGACTGTTGGTGCTGCACTCTGCACCTCTACATCCCTGGATTCTAACAGCAGTATCTCCAGTTCAACTTTAGCACATTTAAACTCCTCTGCTAAACTGCTTATACTGAGCTTCAAAATCTCTTTTTTGTACAGGGCCACACTCCTGAGGCAGCGCCGAGCCCCCAGCCACTTCCGAGAAATTGGTACATCATATGCTGTCAGTGGCCATAACAATCATGGCAAAGACCACACTGCAGACATCAGAGTTTGAGCTTGCCTGGGAGGCCTGATGCCTCTAAGCTCTTAATCCTATCACCTGCCTGCTGTCTCAAGCCCTGAATCTGCTCTTTATCACTAAGGGCTGCATTATACCACCTACCTAAATGTTTGACTGCTTTCTCTAACACTGTTGGAATCAGCTCATCATTTATACAAAACCTTTTATCTAGCAGCACAACTTTCACTATTGAAATGCTCCTTGATTTTTTTGGCTTAACCTTCATTGTAGCCCCCTTTAAGTTAACATTCAGCTTGTCTGGTAGCCTTTTGGTACGTGGTGTTGTAGTGGTGACAGCTGTCATGTTATCCACATACGCTGTTATGAGTGGTAACTGTTGCTCTGACAGAAGCCTTGCTCCTCCTGCAACCCATCTAGATGTTCTAATAATAACCTCCATTGCCATGGTAAACACTAGCGGTGAGACTGTGTGATGTGATGCCTATCTCCACTTGCTGCCAAGCTGTAGTTGTCAGGTTTGCTCAGTGGCACCTGCCTCTCTCACCTCCCTTTCTTTGTTTTTCGGTCTCTGATCACATCACCTTGAACACCTGCCACTCGTTTCCTTAATTTGACACCAGCTGCTTTCACTCAGTCTTTCACCTTATTTATACCCAACTCACTTTTCACTCTCTTGCCAGTTCGTTCTTGCTTTCTGCCTTGCTATTCCTCTCTTGCTATCATCGGTTTTGTTTTTATTCAGTCTGGTTGCCCTGACTTTTCTCCTCGGTCTTTCTCCACTAACAGTTACTCCGGACCATTATCCTCACCACCCTTCCAGCCTCCACCAGCCAGGTCGGTACACAAGTCATTGGACTCCATCCACTCACCATCTCTGTCTACTTTGTTCTCCCCAGCCATCTATCACCCACCGCCCAGAGCGGGAGTAACCCTTGCATCCGTAAATCAGCCTTTCTCATCATAATCACCCTTCATCTGTTGTTTTTCCTGCTAGCTGATCATCACCTGGTCCTACATTACATAGCTGGTTTGCCTTTACACATCACTGTTTATATTGTACAGCACTATTAAATCGCTTGCACTGAAGTCAGCCCTCTGGGTCTGTGTCTTTCTTCGCTCACCCTCCGACGAGTGAGTGAATCTAACAGTAGTATACTCTGCTATTGTGAAATGTACCTGGATATCCTGAAATATTCTCTCACTAGCCCTTTAACTACGTTTGGTACTGTAAAATAAGCTAGTGCATCCCCCAGTAGGCTATGTGGTACAGAATTTTAGCTAGATCTAAAAAAAACACCATATGCAAATCTTTTTTTCCCTCTTTGCTGACTGAATTTGTTGCCAGATCATGCTTGTGTGCTCCAAGCATCCAGAAAAACCTTCTATTCCAGCTTTCTGCACTGAGGTGTCAATTAGTTTATTCATTTCTATGTAGCTCAACAACTTTGGGCCGCTACACTAAAGAAAATCTTGCTTTTTTTTCAGTAAACGTGTATAATGGAGCTAAATGTTACATATAAACAGAGATTAATTGCTATAAGTGGCTCAGTTCAAGCTGACCTATTGGTGGAAAACAAGTTGTTACAACATACACAAAAAGGTTATTGTAGGTTATAAAGTATTGTAGATGATAGCAGGCTATATTAGCCCTGCTGAGATATGACATGCCCTAAATACAAATTTTAACTCACTGGCAAAGCTCATAGAATGAGAAAAAAAAAGGAAGGCATTTATACCAAATCCAAAAGGAGGTGAGGACAGAATAGTAATTAGGAAGAAACAGGGGTGAATAAAGTTTGTTTGGGAGAATCAGACTGGGACAAAGTCAAACTTGTCTCTATTCCTCACTGGGAAACATCCTAAAGGGGGCTGAGAATAGATGGACTTTTTTTTGATTGCCCTCAATGTGTAAATCAGAGACAGTCATTAAAGATGAAGTTGGAAAAAGAAGGAATCAAAAATATGGACATTATAGCACTCTTTTTTTATATATAATATTGGGATTAATATCGTGAAAATCATTGCTGTTTCTTATCTTCAAGAAACATGCCAGGTATCATAAATTTAAAAATGACATTAAGTAGCAGTTGGTGGAAATAGTGCCCCTTAAGTTGGACAGGCACTGTACAATTTTGATTGTGTAAGATGTGTTAACTCACACTACATGTTTTAACTGACCTTCCTGCATGGCCAAAATCCATGACTTTATAGCTCACGCTGTACATTTGCTCATTCAAGTACGACACAAGTGCTCACACTCAGAGGTCCATCCATCTATCCATTATCTATACTGCTGATATTTGGCGAGAGGCAGGGTACACCTTGGACAGGTCTCCAGTCTATCGCAGAGCTGTTATGTAGACAAACAACCACACACACTCACACACACTCCTTTGGGCAATTTAGAGTCACCAATGAACCTAAGCTGCATGTCTTTAGACTGTGAGAGGAAGCCGGAGTACCTGGAGAGAGCCCACACAGGCACAGGGAGAACATGCAAACTCCACAAAGAAAGGCCCTGGGTCATCCAAGGCTCAAGCCCAGAACCTTCTTGCTCTGAGGCAACAGTGCTAACCACCACACCGCTGTGCTGCCAACCCTCAGAGGTGCGATGTGATTTTTTGAAGTGCTTGAGCGCACCTGCCTACTTAACCTGTCCTCTGTTTGCTGTAGTTGCTAGATAGTCTCTTGCTGGTTGTGGAGCCCTGCAGCCACTCTGAATCGTTTCTTGTCTGACCTGTTTTAGCCTTTGACCCTCATGTTATCCCTCAGTGGCTTTGTAAGTTGTTGTGTCTACTGTATATGTTATCTGCCTGTTTGCCTACTGTAAGTAATATCATGCAGTGAAGAGGTGACTGTTGTCTGTTGACTGTTACCAGCCTGTTTGCTCATTGAGATAAACATCTGTTGGCTGTTGTCTCTGTTGGTCTTTTTCTGTGCCTACTCACCTGTTTTCCCCTTTTAACTATCTGTGATTTGCAAAGAACTGTTCCTGTGGAGGAGTGTTAATACTCACCGGTCCTGTCCACTGCCACCTTTCTGTAAAAAAAAAAAAAAGACTACTTACCTACAGATCCCTCCTGTCTGATCCAGCTACTTCCCCTCTCTGCCATTTCATGATTTCTCTTCCACCTGCCAAGAAGCCTCAACCTATTTAGCTACACCCTTATTTGTGCCACCATCTTCTGGGTCTCACCTATCCCAGCTACGAACACTGATGAACACTTAACCTATGACTGGACACAGCAATCACCTCAGTGCAAAAAACTGTAAATATAAGCAGTGTATATATCAGTCTCTATGCTCTTCTGCTCTAGTGCATGTATTTACAAATACTCTTTTCCTATTTTTGATTGCACATTTCCTATTTGAAAGCACACTTTTTCTTTTTTTATTTGCTTTTTTTTCTCATTGTTAGTTTCTGTTCCTGTTGCCTTAGAAACACACTGAGCCTGCATCGGAGTCAAATTCCTTGTATGTTCAAACACAGTAGGACATTAAAGATGATTCTGAAATACCATAAAAGAAAATGCCATGGTAAATTGGTCACCACCATGATCATACATTTTTTGCAATACCACGGTACTGTACCCTCATAAAACAATGAAGAGGAACAACACCCGCTGTAAACACAAGACTTTTTGTTGTGACTCGGGATGGTTAGCTGACTGTGGGTAACATGGCTAGAGTGAAAATAAAAGACACGCTGATCTGAGCTTTGTTGAAAAGATGTTACCTCTGGCTACCAGATGTGAGGTGTGTGGATTCTACTTTCAGTCTGTTGATGTCGAATCAACCTGTTCACTTCACCCGACTCACCCAGTTGTCCATTTGTCCTGTCCATCCACTATTTGTATTATGCTTGCTTTCGTTTATTTGATGCATCCTGTTATACAATTGATGCAAATGTATTTTTATTAAATAAAGAAATAAAAAAAATAAATGTTACTATTTACAAGTTAGGTACATGTCCTAAAAGGAAGTAAGATAATGCAAGTGAGCTAGAACATTGGGGGTACCAGGCTAAGGAATGATTTACACCTGCTCTTGTCTTGGTGTTTTGTTCTGCCCTGTTACCTTGCATTGGTTGCTGCATGGGTAAAGCTGAAGAGCTCAGAATTATAAGTTTCTTTGTCGTTATTTAATTAGCATTACGTACAATTACGACAGTCCTTGTCTGGTTTGTTTCTCTCACAGACATTTTGGTCAGCTTCCTACTCATTTTGTTTCTCCTGTTGCTTCTGTAGGTCACTGAACTGTTTTGTCCCTATAAAAACTCTTGCTCGAGCTCACAGGATCCTGTCTTGCTGGTTTTAGACTCCCAGCTGTGTTGTGCTTTTGTTCTCTTTTGTGCTTCTGTATTTTATGTCTGACTTGGTTGGCTGTAATATATTATTTCCTTCTTGTGGTTCTTTGTTGTTTCTGCTGTATAGGAGAGAATCCATCAAGATGTTTAATTAGTCTCCAGAGTTTTCTCCTGTTATCTAGTCATATTACTTGCTGTAACCTGTCGGAGCTTAGTTTCCTGTTTATGCTGTAATCTTTTACCTGTGTTTCGTATCATATTTAGGCTGTTGTTAAAGCTCCTGGCATCATTACCTCATGGCCCGTGTCTGCTCTTTGGTTTAGACAAAAACATGTTTACTTGTGATACCATGATTCTGAGGAGAAGAGTCATCAGTACTGACACTTTCCTGTAGAAGTGTTACATGAAGTGTGGTGACAGACCACATAGTACCACCTGTGCATTCTGTCTATTATAGCCTACATAACACCAAGCACATTCTCTCCCCATAGGGCTCAAAGTGGCGAGCAGCATTTTCTCTAACAGCAGCATTTTCCTGTACAAGATCAGCATCTGTGACAGTCCTAACAACTGGTGGGTTGACAGATTTTCTCCCTACACTGTTTCTGCAGGGAGATCGTCAGAAATATTCATTTTTCATTTAGCCACTCCAGGACTATATCAGATTCTAGCCCATACACTGCATTTATAACACAATCTTTATTTCAGAATGCCAAATATAATAAGATATTTTGGTTCATAAAGGCTAATACAACAGGTTTTGTATATTTATCTTTGCATGTGATCTATCTAACAAGCACACAGGAACAAAGGAGTTTATTAAATATAGATGCAGTTTATACACAAAAATTACAACCCAGCATGCAACACTAATAGATAATATATTTACCAATGATATTGGTAAATATATAACGAACTACAAGTGAAAATCGGGG